TCGTGGAAAGCTCTTTGGCCGAGTCAACACTCCACGGTCCGCTCGTCGCAGCGGCTGGGGTCGCGGACGGCGGCGGTGTATAGAGCCGCCCCGCCCCCTCCAGTGCCCCCCCCCCCCTTCCCCTTTCCGCCCTCCTATTCAAAGCCGCATTCGTCGCGAAGGAAATATCGGAACGCCGCCTTGTCACCGCCCCACCCGCAGGGCAGGGCAGGGTGTGGGGTGGAGGGGGGGGGGGCTGGCTCACGCTCGATGCTCCCTATTGAGTCGAGGATTTCAGACGCGGTGGCGGCAGCGTACTGGTGGCGTGACTGTGGTCCTGGGTGACAGAAAAAGGAAAAGGGTGGGGAGGGGAGGGGGCAGAGCTCACGAGGGCAGAGATGCGCCACAAGGGGGGCGCATTTCCCGTCTTCACTCTGCTCGCCCCCTTCAAAACACGGTGCCATAATGAGCATCGCGCTACTAGTAGAGTGTGATCAATGGAAGGGGGTAAGGTTCGAAAGGGGCGAGAGGCGACCCCCTCCCCCTTCTTTTCCCCTCTAAAACACGCACACATGCACAATCACACACACACACACACACACACACGTGCATGTACGAAGAACAATGCCACGCGATATCGGAGCATGCAGCGGCGGCGCTGACTCAGCCCGCCGCACCCGCTGCCCCGCCCCGCCCCGCCACCGCGCCCAGACGTGCCTCCGCCTCGCGCGCTCGTCGGCTCGTCGCCGCTTCACGCGAGTGTGCGCCAAGCTGCAGCCAAAATTGGCGGGAATACCGACTGCGGCTTTTGCAGCAGTACAGTCGCCGATAGAGGAAGTCTCGGTTGTGCTGCGGTGTGATGTGCAGTGCGGCAGTTAGTTTCGCGCCAATCCCTCATATACTCTACTTCCTCCCCTTAAAAAAAGAGAGATGAAGAATGTTGTGAGTGAGGCGAGCGAAAGAAAAGAAAGGAAGCTCCCCGCCAAACTCGCACACCATCCATCGAGGCCGGTTTCCTCTTCCTCCTGCGCGCGCCCGTCGTCATCGTCGTCCTCCTCCTCCTCCTCCTCCTCCTCCTCCTCTTACCCGTCGAGACGTCCGGGCGAAGTCAATGAAACTTGCAGTGCGCGGAGAGGCGGCGGCAGCCGGGCGGGGCTGACAAAGATGGGGCGCAGATGCCAGACCGCCCCCGCCCACCCCTTCGACGTTTGCATCGGCAGAGAGCGCCGGCCGCCGCGCCGCGGGCACCCGTGGGAAATTCCAACGGACGTGGCGATGGCCGGCCCGGGGGCCACCCGAGCGGCCGGCCCTCCTGCTTCGCTAACCCCTTCCCATCCCCGCCGCCCCAGCGTCCGTTTCCTCCGATGGCCCAGAGTCTTAATGCTCGACATCGGATCCGCCCTCGACCAACGCCACCCCGCCCAGCTCGCCCCGCCGCAGCCAGTAGGTCGCGCCCAAGTGGGGCAGAACAAAAAGCTCCTCGTCGCCAAGCTGCGCCAAGCCAAATCACACAACAAGCAGACCGCGCCCGCCGGTTGCCCCACACTCAGATTGGCCAAAATAACAAAGTGGGCGTCGCGCCCCGCCCCGCCCGGCACAGCTCAGCGAATATGAGCGTGTTTGCGTCTATGTGCACAGCAATGTAGGTTATTAAACGCTGCTGCTTCTGCTGCCGCTCCTCTTCGTGGAAAGCTCTTTGGCCGAGTCAACACTCCACGGTCCGCTCGTCGCAGCGGCTGGGGTCGCGGACGGCGGCGGTGTATAGAGCCGCCCCGCC